TTCTTCCGAACTGCTTCCTGGAACTCGGATATTCTCCTGTATTGGAAATCTTCGGTTACCCTCTGACTCCCAAAACGAAACGGTTATTCCCCAGATACTTAAGCTTTGGAGTTACAAGACGCCCTTCGCCAAATACACAATGTGGCACTAACTCACCTTGGGATGTCGTACACTCGTCAGAAGGCCTACTTCAACCAACATGTCAACGGCGTTCCGCAATCGTCCGGAAATTACTTTCTCCGTTTCCTTTCCACACTCCCGGTGGAGACACACTAAAGTTCCTCAACCCATGGGAGGGCCCGTTCATTGTTATTGAATTCCTCCCTCCTTCCACCTACATTATCCGAGATGCACACCATCAATCCGGCCCCAGATGCCCAGTTCATTTTGACAAATTGAAATCTTACAAGGGATATCTTCCCCCGCGAACCCGACTCCCTATCCATTTAACCTCCCCATCTAGTCTCACAACCCTCCTACGAGATGGAGATCGGTGACCATAATCCCACTATGGCTCTGAAGACAGAGCCCCCTCTTGAAGGGGGACGTTTAGGAGGCCAAATTGGCCCCTTTGTTTTAATTTACCTTTTTGTTGTTAGGTTGTTATGAACTTTGGAAGAGCGCTAACACTCCCATTTTAGTAAGCGTCATTGACGCGATTCAAAAAGTTGCCTGGGAAGATCTGCAGCCAGAAGAAGCCGAAGGCAGAACCAATAGCCGTTTCAAACCTTTTGAGTTCCGGTTTTTACATGTTTCATCGTTCTGCTTCAATAAACGCTTATTTCGACACCTTTACTTATCCGTTTGCGTGTTAAATGAATAATCGATATTATCACTGTACCATGGAATTTCAGACCACAAATAAAATCCAGCGACAGGCAGAAAGCATATCTGAAAAGACGATCAATATTGGTGATAATAAGTCTAGCCCCGAAAAGAAGGATAGGACTAACACGGCTATTAAAATCTGACTCTCCTTGTAGAGACTGAGGAGTCAATCGGTGACGAAGGTGCCGAGGACGGGCACTGATTGGGCAACTGCCTCACTTCCCGTTTTAGCCAAGGCGTGAGCTGTGGTTTCCCCGGTGCTCCTCTGTTCGGACTTTTTGCTACTACCCCGCACC